TGTGTGTGTGTGTGTGTGTGTGTGTGTGTGTGTGTGTGTGTGTGTGTTTGCCTGTGCTGTATTACAGCTGAGAAACAGGTCTCCCATCAGCCCACCTGCTCAACCTCCCAAGAATCATTCCTCAGGCCTACAGACAAGTAAAGGGGGGAGGGGGAAGGGAGGCTTGCCCCCAAGTCTCTGCAGCAAAAGCAGAGCAGAACTGAGGAACTCGGAGGTCAGTGCTCTCCAGTCTGACTCCATGCCTGAGCTCTAGCCCCTCCTCCAGGGGCAGGACAGACAGCCTGTCTGGTGAGGTGAAGCGATAAGGGCAGCCGACCACTGTACCACTTTAGAACTGTGAACCAATAACAGGGTTCAGCTTGGCATGGGACAACAGATATGCTCAGGTTTGGGGACCACAAGATTTACACAGATGCTATGGGAATTGGGGCTGGCAGTACAGTGAGCTGGCCTTACTTGGAGCAAGTATTACTGGATGCTTCTGGACCCCAAAGTCCAGCCTTTGAAAGGGAGATGACAAGTTCTAAGAGAACAGTTTGAAGTATCCTCCATGACTATTCCAGCATAGTACAGGAGCAAGGTGTGACCACAAAAGTGCTAAAATCCTGGGCCATGTTGAAGAAGCCTATTGTCCAGTGCGAGGCAGCCCTGACCTCATTGTGGTCAGCACAAGCTAACTGGAGCTTATTCAAAGAGCCAGAGTGGAGAACTAATGCAAGGTTGTTGCACAAGGCACTAGAAAAGGGGACTGTGGAAAATCATGGAAGAGGAAAATGTGAAAAAGAGCAGGCCCCGAGTGAAAGCCTGAGGGAAATGGTATGTCCCCTATAGATACTCTGAGGAAGGGATAGTCCTGGGAAGGGGATGCTCTGAGAACAGTGGCTGTGAGGAAAAGCTCCTGCTGGGGAGGGGACATTCTTCCTCCCTGAAGGTGCCAGGCACAGTGAAAAGGCCTGCAGTGCAATGGCTAAGTACAGAGGCCATTCCGTCTGCAAGTAACAAAGAAGGCTGGTCTGCAAAGTGTCCTGTAACATGGGGGGGGGGGGTGGAGGCCAATCTTTCCTCTGGCCTCAGAGCCTGTACCTAGGGGAGGATAGTGCCCACCCCCCTCTTGCTTCTGTTGTTTCTCTGCAGTTGAGATAGTGAGTTATAGTTCTCCCCGGAAGAGGGCCTGGGCATAGGGAAGGGGCCCATGCTAGTCAACTGCATGCTCATAACATGGCTTGTGTGATCTGATGGGCTGTCACCTACACAACAGGAATGGTGAATCTGTACCTCTCCTGGACACTCGCACGCCCACAGCCTACACTCTCTACCTCTGCTCCTCATCCCCTGCCTCCTTTACCTGATCTATAAAGTATTTCTAGGACAGCTACACATTTTGTTTAATATTTGTTTCTCTTAAAGATTTATTTTCATTTTGTGTATATAAGTGTTTTGCCTCCATGTATGTGTACCACATGCAAGCATAGTGCTTACAGGCCAGAAGAGGGCATCTGATCCCTTGGAGCTGGAGTTACAAACATTTGTGACCTTCCATGAGGGGCAGGGAACGGAACCCGTGTCCTCTGGAAGATTAGCTCTTAACTGCTGAGCTACCTCTCCAGCCACTTAGCTGTTTTGTTTTTTTTTTTTTCCTAATTGAAAGCTAACACATTTATAGAAAGGCATACAAAATACATGTTCAACTCACTCATTCAAAGCAAAACTAACACCAGGTCAGGAAAACAGCGCGGTACCATGTCCCAGAATGCCCCTTTACCTCCTTCTGTCTTTATACTCTTTATCCCAATAGGTGACTACCATCCTGACTTTAAGATCTCTGTTTTACTCAACCCAGTGGAAAGTTTATCAGACAACTATATTTATTCTTTTGTCTGGCTTCTTTGGCTCAACACTGTACTTGAGAGTTTAGTTTTCATTGCCACATAATATTCTACTATATAAATAGACTGTGAGTTATTTGATGGATGTTTGGGCTGGTCCCACTTTGGAGCATTTATATCATGTTTCCCAAAGTCTTTATGTATGTGTCTCTCATGCACACATCCCCAATTTGATATCAGCCCAGGCATGGAACTGTTAGGTCACAGAGTATACATGCTCAACTATAATAGATATGGGCCGTTTCCTAGGCAGACCTGAGAAGTATGGCTTCATGTTCTCTGGAGAGGCTGGCAGTTGGTTGCCATGGGGATGGTTGCAGCCACCTTGGAACGAGCTCCTTATTGGAGAGGCTTGCTATCTCTCCTTCACACAGTGCACTTCCTGGCATGAGCTGGAGACAGTACAGGATTAAAAAAAAAGAAAAAAGAAAAAAAGAAAAACACCATGCCAGCTCAGTATCCTAGAGGAGGCTGGAATCCTGGGTAGGAGGTGGACAGGGTCTGGGTTTTGAGGTGCGGCTGTGGCTCAACCTGCCTCAGAACTGTATAGAGGAGGCCCAGACACTGGGATGCACATAGGCCAGAAACCTGGAAGAAGCTGGGGAACAGTACAGGGAAAGGAATGGAGATGAGGAGGCCCGAGAGAGAAGCAGCCCTGAGCCATGACGGCCTTTAGCACTGGGGTGTGTTTGAGGCTGAGCATGCATGCCAACATGGTCACCAATCATTAGGATTGTAAAGAAGTCAGATGACAGGGGCCTAAGCCATGATGGAAGAGGGATTGGGGATAGTCACAAGACATGAGGGAAGTAGAATTGACAGTTGTTGGTACCTGACTGAATGAAGAGGAGTTGGATGAGTGTGGAAAATTGCTTGAGTTTCCCACTCGAACACCTAGTTACTGCCAAGATGGGGAACACAGGAGTGGGTTTCTTGTCCTAGGTAAGTCTGGCAGATAGTGTCTACTCTTGGGATCAACATCACTCGAGCAACTCTGACTGCTTAAAACCCAAGTCCGGCTAAGCACAACCGAGGTGATGACAGATCCTAAGACATCCTAGACTTTCAGCAGGCTCAGAGTCAGTACCTCAACAAAGAACTAGGGTCTTATGGGAAACTGAAGCATAAATCTAAGCTTTGGAGAAAATCAATACGCAGGAGCTGAGGGAACCTTAGGCCATGGGACTGTGAGTTCCTAAGTCATCTAAATTGTCAAAGCTACTCCCCAAGCTTGGGACTCTTTGGGATCCAACTGGTCACATCTATGGCCTCTGATGCTCTTTCTGTCTGGCTCCTAGGGAGGCTCCATCCAGAACCGCAAGTCCAAGCGCTGCCTGGAGCTGCAAGAAAACAGCGACATGGAGTTTGGGTTCCAGCTGGTGCTGCAGAAGTGCTCAGGACAACACTGGACTATCACCAATGTCCTGAGGAGCCTGGTGTCCTGACCTCAACAGACACCACCAGCCACTGCTTTGCTACTGTGTAGCATCAGCTGCAATGTCGCCTGCTGTCACGTGGGGCTGCCTGGAGTCCGAGAGGGGGAGCCAAGTGGGTGGCCTCTCCCACAAAAGAGCTTTTTATTTCCTATTCAATTTTCACGGAGTTTATAGAGAGATGCAGAGAGGTGGGTGAGGGTATAATATCCTGAACTATTTTACAATTGTAAATAGGGGACAAATGGAAAATATTTATAACTGGCAATAAAATATTATTGATTAAGAAACGTCTTTGCAGTCATTTGGTGCCCTGGAGTGAGCTGGGCCTGGATCCTCTGGAGTTGGAGTCTGGTAGCTTAACATGTGTCTTCAATGCTCTTTCTTCTTCACATTCTTGAGAAAACATAACTTTAAAGCTCTGTAGATTATGAAATTTGATGAACTTCATAAAGACTCTATTACCTAATAAGGTCAGGTTATGCAGTGCTGAGGTCAGGATTTTAACTGGTCTCTGAGCACAATGCTATCCATAAGGCATGTGCCGGGTGCAACTCAAGAGTAGAGCACTGGACCCTCAGGCTCCCGCACTGGACCCTCAGGCTCCCACCCTGAGGGCAGGTCCTTCCATGCTTCTTCCCTGCGAGCTGGTGCCTGGGACAGGTTTCTCCTCAGAAGATGTTATTTCAGTCCTAAGGGTCATCTACTGACAGACTCTAATCTACACCACCTTCTCCTGAAATCACCAAGTCTCCTCTCCAGGCTATCCACTGCTCCTCCCCCATGGCACTTGCTTGCCTGTATCCAGTCCTGAGGCCTGTTTGGTTCCCTCTTTGAATTAGGAAGCGATGGCTTCTTGTGGCCTCTGTAACACACTGCAATACTCTGAAGTGGCTTAACCGAAAAGTAGCACGTTACCTTTCTAAAGCCTGGGAGTTCAAAATGAAGGCTGAAAGGGAGTCTGCTCTGTGACTCTCTCGCAGCTTCTGGAGGCTCAGGTAAGGGTTCCTTGGCAAGTAGATGCCTCTCTTCTCTCTGCCTTCATGTTATCTACCTTGTACATGCCTGCCTGTCTCTCATGCCCAACTTTCCTATCTTTATTAGGATGCCAGTCCTCTATTGATGGAGAGGGAGCAATTTAAATTGTAAATTTGACGAACTTAATAAAGACTCTATTACCTAATAAGGTCAGGTTCTGTGGTGCTGAGCTCAAGATCTTAATGGGTCTCTGAGCACAATGCTATCCGTAAGGCATGGCTCTCCATTATGGCTCCACGTCAGCCCTGCTGGGCTCAGCCTGGGCGACCAGAAGCCCCTAGAATGGAGCCTCTTCCTTGGAGTCTGTTTGTAAAGTCCCATTCCCTCCAATAGCACCCTTCTAGCTGTTCCTGCCTCAGTCCAAAGAGCCTGCCTCTGCTTGGGGACTCCTGTTTTTAGTTAAAGGGACCTCTCCCTTCACAATGCCTCCAGATATCCAGTCCTAAGGCTCAGTCCCTTCCAGACTGAGGTCCGCCCACAGTCATCCCACCTCCTCCTCCTCTTACCTGGCCCTCTTCCCCAGAGGCCTCCAATCTAAGCAGTGACCTATATATGACTAGTAATTTATAGAAAGCTTGACTAGAAAACTCCCTGTCCTGAACGGTTCCAGGGTGGGGGTGGGAGGTCTGTTGCTTTGACCACTGTTTGCCCCCACCCTACCCCAGAACCCAATCCAGCACAGGACTCACTTAGAAGGACCTTTAGACCTTCCCTGGGCCACTGTCACAGACTCTAGTGGAAGTTTACACTTACCCCTCCAAAGAGTCCCCTAGGCTCTAGTGGATCAAAGAGGACGTCTGCCAAGCTGGTCACACATGTTGGTCACTACCCAGGAGGTCTAAACGTGGAACTATAGTTCCCCAAGAAGAGGTTCCTACGGGGCCTCTTCTATGTCCCTGACGTTCTGCGCCCCCCCCCATTCTCTTCTCCATCCTCACATCTGCTATAAACCCCATGTGTGTTCTAAATGGCTCCTGTCTCTAGCTGCTCTGATCCATCCTTCCAGATCCACCCTCTGCCCTTGCCTCTCTGTTCAGCAGTTAAGAAGCAGAGATAAAACTGGGTGTGGTGGAGCATGCCTTTAATCTCAGGCTCTCAGGAAGCAGATGCAGATGGATTTTTATGAGATGGGGGCTAACCTGGTCTACATAGTGAGTTGTAGACCAACTGAGGCTACATAGTAAGATGCTGTCTCAAAAACCAAACATCAACAACAAAAATAAAATTAAAGCTGAGGGGGGAATGTGGGTGCTCAGTCTTTTCTCCCCAGGGCCCTCCTCAAAGGAAGATGCCACCTGCATTCAGGGTGATTGGCCCTTCTCATGCCTGGAAAGACTCTCAAAGACACACCCTGAGGTATGTTTCTCTGGTGATTCTAAATCTCATTAAGTAGACAGTCAAGATTACTGTTAAATCTTGACTGTGCCCAGAGTCTAGTCCACACAAGAAGTGTTAGTAATGAGTAGGCACTAGAATTTTAACTCTTGAGCCCTACTCCAGACTTCTGAAACCAGAAACTATCCACAATGTAGAAAACCTTGTAGGTAATCACAAATTCACACTAAAAGTCAAAAATCGCTCCCAGAACCCACCTTGGCTAGGCCACACCTATCTTGACTCCTATGCTCATCCAAGTCATTGCCTTCAACATCAGCCATGCATGCAGCTCTACTGCATGCCTGCCAACCACATGTGCCTGCACCCACCCATGCTTATACCTGTGCTACCCGTACCGCACTCTAGTGTACAGGATAGGAGCAAAGACTTGAACCTTGAGCCAGACAGCCTAGGTTCAAGTCCCAGTCCCAGCCCTTGCAAGCTGGGCAATCTTTACAGTGCCTTGACATCCTTGAGCATCTTTTAAGGACACAGGGACACTAGGGCCAGGGAGGTGGCTTGGCTGGCACAGTGCTTTGCTACACAAGCAGGAGGACCTAAATTTGATTCCCATAATCTAAGTAAAAAAACCACTTGTGGTGGTGGGCGCTTGTTATCACAGTGCTGGTGGTGCTGAGGGGAGGAGGGAGTGTAGGGCAGAAGCAAGCAGATCCCTCAAGCTCTTTGACTGACCAGCCTGGCCAACTTGGCAAGCCCTGGTGTCCCAGTGAGAGACAGCCAATGAGTGTAGACAGCCAATGAGGATCTACACATATACCAAGGCACTAGTAGAATATATGTCATAGTTTAGTGATGAAAATTAAATGAACATGTGAAATTCATAGACCTGTGATGGATCTATAGTAAGTGCTAGAAAGTTCTGGGTGTTATAATTTGGCCCATTGATATCCTGATTACTGTCACCAATATCTGCCAATACCCAATACTCAGTTACTGTCACTAGTTCCTACTAATACCTATACAAATAACAACATCTATGCCAATCTATACCCAGAGTTTACCAAGCTGTCAACATCTCCATCTATGACTACCAGCAAACACTCACCTGTACCACACACCCAGAGGCACCCGCTCTCACATTCTGAAAGCAGCCCCACAAAACTCACACGTCCTTGCCCTCCTATCAAGCACACCCCCGCATCAATCCATTCCCTACAACTCTGAGGAACAACTCTCATCCCCAAAGCATGGGGATAGTGAAGACAGTACAGTGGCTTTTCTTCCTCCTGGGACACCAACTCACCCTCTCCATGAGCCTTAAATACCCCAGAGAGAGCAGAACACCTGGGATGGTACCTGATTCCTCATCACCTGTGTTTTCGAACCACAAACTAGCCCAGGATCTCTGGGATTCTTATGTATAATTACAAGAAGTAGGAGCAGCTGGTGGGTGTGGGCAGAGACAAGAGGTCAGAGAATAAAGGAGAGAAGAGGCTGAGGAGTCCTCAACCATAGCCAGCCTCACCCACGGAAGCCTGGGCTGGCTACTGCAGCAAGCTAATTAGCAGCTGTTTAGGAGTTCTGGACACCCTGGAGTGAAAGCATTATTTTTCTTAATGATTTTGCACATTAAACAACTTTGTTTCCTGTTTCTACCACCCTCCCTGGCACTAGAAAGAGCCATCTGAGCATATCCCATAAGACCTCCTGGACTGCCAGCCTTCTGCTCGGTTCACAACTTGGATCCATAACTCAGCCCCCTGCCTTGCACAGCCCTGCACATGGGCCCGTCTGTTACAAGGGATGCAGGAGATTGTGCTTCACTGCCCACTGGAGACTGACTCAGTAGTCAGCAGCACCAATTGGCAGAAGGCTGTCAGTGTTCTGGCAATGTCATAACCTGTCCTAAAGGTCACTAGCCAACAGCCCCATGCCTGCAGTTCCCCCCAGGTGTCTGCAGCTCTGTTAGAGATTGTTCTTTTGCCTCAGGCTCCTGCCAAGCATAAATATAACCAGACTCAGCCTTTGCCTAAAACCTTACAATAGCAAGCTCAGACACCAGCCTCACATTTGCAATGCTTTCTCAACAAGAGAAATACTACGTCTATACTTCACACTGGTGCAACAACTTGTACAGCCACTCTACCTTTGACCGGACATTTTGTAGACACAGTCTTCTCTCAGGTGGAGCTGCTCTTGGTGAAAGGCAACTGAGGCATGTGATTAAATTCCACACCCCCTTTCTGCCTCTTGCCCCACCCCCAACCTTCTCTTCTGATCCTTGTTCACCAGCTGGCATCTCACATCTTCCCCTAGGGGGCACTCCACTTCCTCTGTGCTTGAAATACAGGTCCCAATCCCACTGAAAGGATATGAATCTAATCTTGTGCAAGGCTGATAAGCGAGTGCTCTGATTCTAGACATAGCTGGTCATGTCCAACCTGGAGGCCACAGGTACAAGACAAGCCCCTAAACTAAAAGCCTAAAAGCTATTTCCAACACTTTCTGTTCTGCTGCTTTGTGAGCCTCATTTTCATCTCCTGACCATGGAAATGCTTAGGAATAACCTGAACAAAACTAAGATTTTCTACACTCAGTGTAGGAGTTAGGTTTTAGCTGGGAACAGCTAGCATCTCTTTAGCCATGGATATGAACTGCTCCCAAGTATGCAGCCAATAGGGGTCAAGTTTCCACTGTAGAAAACACAACCCAACATAGAGGGAGCCCCAGAGACAGTCAGGGAAAAAAAAAAGTATTTCCTCTCTCCTTTGCTGACACTCATGTTCTTACCAAAGCTTCCCTGGGCCAGAGCCAGTGTGAAATCCAGACAGAAGAACCCTAAATGGGGATGAGGGGTGACTAGTGCACGCACCCTTGGTCTTGTTCTATCTGCATGTCTCAGCCCCCAAAAATG